TTCTAAAGGCCCGCGAACAGTTCCGCGGGAGAGTGCCATTTCATAAAAGGCATTCAGCGCAGGATGCTGCACGTGTCAGTATGCGACGTGGCATATTGGATCACACGGTCTCGTTAGATTGCGCCTTTACAGCCGCGACGAACGGACGTTTGAAATTGCCGCTTCAAGGACGGAGCGATCCAAAAGCTGCGCGTCTGCTTCTCGGACTGACCAGAAGAGGCACTGAGATCGTACCTCCGAGCGAATTGAGCGCGAATTGAAACCCGTTCGTTGTAAATTGCGCTTAAATTGTTTCAAGTTTGAGAAAAACTATGTTTATTTTTTCATAAATTTCCGAAGCTCTTTTCTCGTCACGTAAAACTTTATCACAAAGTAATAATAAGTAATGAATAAATAAAGCGAGTTAATATACAGATACAAGATGTTATTAAGAACATAACGGGATAAAGCGATAAAAATAATGGAATTTATTTTGAATAAAAAGAAGTATTACAGTTAGTAACTTTGGCGGAAGTATTATAAATCGAGAATTAATATAAAAAAATTTCAAATTAATATTAATCACATGGTTGCATAAAATATTTATAGCTAAACCAGATGTCTCTAATATCTCATACCGCAATTTTACAGAAACGGGAACCGGGAACTACATCCACATAGATAATTGTATAAATCTACATTAAATAATATACTTCAATTTCACTTCAATGTTACAAGATAACATTCCAGTGGTCGAAGACAATTGACATTTCATTGACAATTGACAATTGACAAAATTGACAATTGACATTTCATTCAGAAAATCGGTTACTTTCCACAATAATTGTCCACGTCACGGTGGCTCGTCTCGATCGCATAAACATAAAAGAAATTGCCGTCATTAATCGAAATAAGCGGAAAATAAACGAAAGAGGGGCGACAGCAAGGGGTATCGATAACAACGCACGAATTGTCAGGTCCGGCGATTCGAACGGTTGGGCGCGCTGGCGACGGGCGCGGTATTTCCGGGGCTTTGCGCTTTGCGCGCGGAGCCAGCGACGGCGACACGTCGATCGGCGTAGCGATACTCGGGCGCGCGCACACGCGCGCGCCTCGCGATTTGTGTGCCGCGCGGTCGAGAGAGCGCAGCGCGAGGGCCGAGGGCGGAGGGGTACGCACACCGTACACCGGCGCGTCGCCAGGCGTGGTCCCCGCGGCGCTGACGCTCGCCGACGGCCGACGCCGCGCCGGGCCGCCTTCCGGCCGGCGTCCGCGGGATCGTCGAAAGAAAGAATTCGACCGGCCTGGCACGCGGCGGCCCTTCGGCGCGGGGGCGCAGGGCGCAGGGCCGCGCGCCGCGCCGGTGGGACTACTTGACGCGCGGAAGGACGCGGCGCGCACGCGCGCCACGACCGGTCGCGGCCATCTTGCGCTCCAGTCAACGGCGGCGGCCGCCAGCAGCAACAGCAGCCAGTGGTCGTCAGTGCACGACAGCTCCGGGTGCCCCTCGACGAATACCCGCTCTTTCTCTCCGTTTCTCCCGCACCCGCGCGCGCGCGCACACACACAGACACACATACACACAAGGCACCGGTCGTTCTCTTAGCGCACAGTCACACGATCGCATCCTCGCGTCGCCGCGCCGTGCTTCGCTCTTCCGTCGGCCGAATCCGCGTGGGAACTCTCGACCGGACCGGCTCGCGTCGTCGTCACCGTCGCCGTTGTCCGAGCGTTCCGAGCGCGTTCCTTTTCTCTCGCGCGCCCGCTCTCGCAGTGCCCTTCCGATTCCGCGGCGTTTTAACGTGACATATATAATACACACACGTCCAGGGGTCTTTCACTGGCCAGCAATGTCGGCGCAAGTGCAGGGCACGCTTCTCGACGTGCTCAAGAAGAAGATGCGGCAGACAAAGGAGGAGATGGAGAAGTACAAGGACGAGTGCGAGGAGTACCAGAGGCGGCTGCAGGTGGAAGTGATGCGCCGCGAGGAAGTGAGTGGAAAAACCGAGAGCCATCGAGAGAGTCATGCTCCTTTCCTGCGTCCTCTTCCTGCCTGCCGCGAGGCACCGACCCTCGGAAACTTTCCGAGCGCTCCCCTCGTCCGCGATCATCTCTCTCTTTCTCTCTCTCTCTCTCTTTCTCGTTCTCTCTCGTTCTCTTTCGTTCTCTATTCCTCTTCCTTTCTCCCCGTCGCGAAGCCCCGCGATAATATCGTGACTTTGCGAGATATCAATTTCGGCAATAATCGACACGGGGCCGGCGATACACGAGAGAGCCACCATTGGCCTCGCACACCGATCGGCCGCCGACGATAACCGGAGAGAGAGAAAAAGAGAGAGAGAGGGAGAGAGAAACCGGAGAGATAACTCTCGGCGCAAAATTCCTCGCGAACAGGTTTCCAGGCGGAACGTTTCATTGATCCGAACACGGACGGCGCGATTCGATTCAGCGAGGAAATCGGAGAATTTCTTTACGACGCTGCCGACGAATCCCGATTCTCTTTAGGTTCTCCCGTTCGTTCCGATCGCGGCGAGGAACGCGCGAGCGTAGCGCGAAACGCCGGAGCCGGCGTCCGCGGCGGTTGTAGGAGATCGATCGCGAGTGTCAGACACGTCGTCGTCGTCGTCGTCAGGCTGGGTCGGGCGGGTGCGGGCGTGCGAGGGGGGGAAAGGAGGGTCATACGTCGACTCTCGAGGACATTCCTGGTACCTACACACCGGTGGCGAGGACCGGCTCGTCGAGAATCGCTGCCGCCGCCGCCGCCGCCGGCTTGTCCCTCCCGACGGCATTCTACGTGCGCGAGTCAAAATATTTAACGTAACGCGGAGCCCGACCGCGCGGCGTGACCGACCGAATCGATCACCGCGGTCGCTCTCCGTCGCTTGCCGTCACAGTCGACCTGACAGTCGACTGAACCGGATATCCGTGCGAAGGATCTTTCGCCCGAAAGCGCGTGGGACACCGAGTCGCAATTCTCCCGCACCGATATCTCCAATTGAGTGCGAATAAAATTTAAAAATCGGTAGCTTCGACGAAACGGAGCGATTTCGTCGTTAACCGAATATGAATGAAATTTGAGTTGAAACGAACTTTCGATCCCATAAGTACTTTCTAATCTGTTAGTAGCCAAAGAAGGTACATCGTCAAAGATTTATTCTGATAAAAATTGTATTCTTTACAAACGAACTTTCGTCACGACCTTTTCACTCGAGAAAGTTTTAGAAATGCCATACGTGTCAAATTTGATTGATTGTACTTGGACTGATTAATGATTCAGTTCTGTGCTGTTAATATTTGGCAACTGAGGATCCGCGTCAAAATGCGTTATGATAAATGATAACGAGAATTGATATGTCTGTTAAAATTCTGTGAATAACTAATATTATATGTATGGATATATAACTAGTCTTATCTGTAATTTATAAAGTCATTAATAAATATTATATATAAAGTTACATAATGTTATAGTCATCAGTTATCTATACATATATCTAAGTGTATTATTAGTTATCTGATATCTATATATATCTCATACTAATAATAAATATATTTATATACAATATTAATTGTCTTAATATATATCTTTCAAAAGTTTTTACTTTCATATGCAACGTTACTGTATGAATTGACGGAAAATAACGTGACAACAAATAAGCACGATCCGTAAACAAAATTGTGAGATTTTGTCCTAAAGAAACTATGATCCCCTTCAGCGAATTCTATTTGCGCTATTATAATACTAATTGATATACTGTTTTGTTCTTTAGACTTCAGATTCTATTCAACTTGTGAAACGCTCAGTACTTTGAACAAACCAAAACCGAATGTGCGATTCGTAGAAACTTTATTACTAAGGCCTACGGTCAACGTGACGCTACAAATGCTTTGGAGCATTCTTCTTTTTCTTTCTTCATTGAAAGAAAAGAGAAGAGGAATGCTTCGAAGCATTTGTAGTGTCACGTTGACTAAGAAACCGTGAGAAAAGATATATTCTTTTTTTTCTGTAAAACTGTTTCCAAAACTGTTGCATTAATTTGCAGCTTGCGATCCAGGCATTGCAATTGGCATAAAAAACTTTGTTAAGTGTGTACGTTGTTTATCTCTGTCATAAAACAAGCTATATACAGTACGAAAGTGCATGAAATCTTGGGTATGTAAGATTGCTTGGCAACAGCTTCCGTTACGCCTTAATCCGTTAGGCTTTTCTTACCTCGAGACTACCATATTCGGACAATTACCAGTCTATATTCGTTCCGAGAGAGACTTCTTATACATATTTTTTCATTGGCATCCTTTTACACGAATCTAAAAGTTTAATTCGTATAAAGGTATCTTTTCATTGATGCTCTTTCATATTTCACAGAAATCTATAGTTTATTACAATTTAATATTATTGGAGAATTTATTTCTATATTACCAAAAAGTGCTTTACTGCTTCATGATTATTTAAAAATAGATATAAGAATTGTTGCTTTTAAAAATTCTTGACAATGAGACGTACAATAATCTGATTGTGAGCTCCATGTACAAAAATACATAATTTCTTAACTGAAATTTAAACCACATAACGTTCTTTCTGCAATGTGCTGTTATGTCACGGATATGATCGTTCTCAACACGTCACGAATTTTTCGCGACGAGGCGATGAGATCATTACTGGAAGGGCTTGGAAGTTTATAGCATATTAAGTCACTTTGCCTATTTACGGCCACGCCAGCACGCCTAAAGCACACCAGCTACGTGGCGAAGTGTGCACAAGTGAAGCGAGCCGGAGCCTCCCTCCGGTGAGCCTCGTTCATCAGCCTCGATTTAACGGATTTATACTACAATCTTAGCCGTTTCTCGCTCCTTTTTCGCACACAAACGGCGATGTAACGCGCGTGCCTTGTCGACATGCACGAACACCGGTCGTCGGGTGTCACGATCGGTTGATCCGCAAAATCGCTCTTAACAAGTGCGACCTGTCGAGGCAACTGCAAGTACTAGTAGACGTGTGATCAAAGTAATTAAATCAGGAAGCGTACGAAAACATTTTTCGGCTACTCATATTTGGGATTTTTGTCAATTGAAGACAAAGAACATTTTCAAATCGTAGCTTTAAATTAGTCTAATTTAAGAAACTGATATTTTATAATTAGAAACATGAAAAAATTTCTACGTTACATATTTTATTCGAATATTATTTAGCACACAAAGATCTTTTGATCGTGGCTTTCTGAAATTATAACGGGCTGAAAGATCGAAAGCCGAAAGTTGTGCAATTGTAAGTTCGGGTATAATGACACACAGTTATATTGTAAATTCAGCGCTTTAGCATGAAATGCAGCGAGTCGTGAAAATATAAGGTGATCCGTATTGCTGAAATCGACGTAGGTATTGCTCTTTTGCTTTAGTTAGATCAATATATAATTTACTTGAGACAATTTTTTAAATTCCTTAAATTAGTTTGGGGAAAATAATGATATCTTTTTTTGCGAACCGCTTTAATGGACATTTTATGCTTTCTACAATAATATTTATCGATAGCTTCTGTACATTCTGCTTGAACCAACATTATTTGTCACGAAATAAAATATTTTGCGGACGTTTACGTAATACCAGTTTATTATAAAATAGAGATATTGAATATCTCTCGATTAGGTCCTTTTTCCATTACACCATCAATATTTCATATTTATTTTAGGTCGAAGTATTGATCGTATAGCGCTGAAAGCAATTTTTGCAAATATTTGCGTGGATTGCCGGATATATCGCTTCTATCGCGCGTAGACCGTAGATTTGTTTTGCCATCAGGCCGTATCGAAGAAGTCTGTCAACCGTTTCAATGTCCTGTCGTATAAAATAGCAGGCGTCAGTGTCGTAATTGAAAACACATATCAAACTCAAATACGTGATTATTCATTACGGATAATCATTAATCGCGTAAGATTATAAATCTTTATTATAACATTTTGTTATATCGCGTACGCCGACCAACAACCAGTTAACGATTTCGTCTTTCGGTTATACATTCTTATAGTCTTCTTAGTCTGTCATTGTTTTATTTTTACCTCCGTATCAAATATAAAAATCTGTTACGTTTGCAGGATAAATAAATCCATAGAAATTTTGTATACGTTGAAATGATATATATGTGACACGCCAAACCTAAAAGTAATTCAATCAAAATAAATGTCTGGCCTACAAGACTGCATTTCCGCTCGGATGTATAACAGCGCAACGCCGCGCCGCATTTTCCGGCGCAGTGGCGAAAATCCATCGCTAGATTCCAATGCGCACTCGCGATAGAATGCGCCCGATAGTGCGCTAAACGTTTTAAAGGCCAACGGCGACGGACTCGGTCAGGCTGCGCTAATACGCTTTTGTCACGGAGCAACGAAGTGCATTGCTGCGCGACACCGCGATTTTTCTGGTTTTTCCTCTTCTCCCTCCTTCCTCTTCGATTCCGACGCGATGATAATGAGCGATCTGCCGTTTCGCAAGTTGATTCAATTATACGCGGCTTATCGTCGCTCAGACGGGAGGATGCGAGGGCGCGATAAGGCGAGTCTTATTGATTTGCTCGCGCATTCGACGGGTCGATCAGGCGCGAAAGCGATCTCGAGGATTCGGAGTGACCGTGTGTCTTTATTGCCGAGAAGTTTACATAACAGAATCCCGACGTCTCTCCCTCTCGACGTTCCTCACGACGCGCGACGCCTTGAATTTATTTTCAAACGAATGCCGGTCGCACTTCGCGGATATCACACGGAGCGATGTAAAATAATATCGTATGCCGTGATTCTTTCCGCCTCAGGAATCCGCCTTATACTTTGATTACACGCGCACAGCAGAAAGACAAATAATGGAATAATCCTCAATGAAGTTTTCATGTTAAGAATCTTATCTGCAAAGATAAAACTCCGATAAAACTCATAAATGCAAAAAGAGCAATTTTAGACGATAAAATTATTCTTTGGAAAATTAATAGAAGGCTTTTTTCACATCTACAACTTGCGAATGTATAATCTATACGTTCCAATAAAGTTATCACAAAGGCAAATATGGAATATATTATTTTTGAGAAAATGATAGAATTGCTTTGAAGAATAGGAGAATCTATACATTATTCCAATAAAGTTGTCACAAAGGCAACATATTTCATAGGTGTCTTTGTGAGCTATGAAATATGTTGCCTTTGTGACGACTTTATTGAAATGCATAGATTCTCTTATTCTTCAAAGCAATTCCGTCATTTTTATTCAAAATAAAACTGCAATTTTAATTCCTTTAAGATCCCACATGCATATTGATCAAATATCAGTGCCTGTAAGATCCAGTCTTGAAAATATACTTGCTTTACTAAATTATCACCGATCCCTATAATCGCGGTCGACGTCGATCGGACTGCAGGACGAGTTAAATAGATCGTGGTGGAAGGCTACGAGAAAGGGTCGGACGAAGCGGAAGTTTGGCACACTTACCAACACTTGCCGCGCGGACATCGTCCATGTGACACGACCTGTCCGCTCGACACAAGTGCGCGAGTGGGCGTGCCGATTTCCTCCGAATACAAAGTTCGCGTCGTCTCGCACCGGTAAGGTAACACCGAAAGCGTGCGTAGCGTTACGTGCACGCACTATCGAGCGTAGAACAGCGTGGCAACGCGAACCACGCCGGCCAGGTTTCATAATCATTGAACTCGCATTACTTGGTTGCGGAAGTTAGACGGTAGCAAGCGAAAATAAAGTCACAGAAATTGTGGAATAAATATAAATGTTTTGTACAGACACACGGTGTGTTTTTGGCGACAATTATTCCAAAATATCAAGCAGTTTCATAAATAGTATATCTATTTGGATTTCATTTTGTATAAACCACGTGGATTATGACAAAACAGATACCCTCACCATCTATTGTTTTAACAGAAACAGTGAACAGAAAAATGAGTAATTATGATAGTCAGCAATTACTAGCGACGTGGTAGCGCGGTTTGATATCATGATTACATTTAAGTGATTATGCAATCGTTGTTGTCAGTCCGCTGACATCACCCCCATAAAACCGATATAGGTGCGCCGAAATCCATGAATACCAAGTTCACGCACCGTTAATAAAGTAACGTTGTTAAACGACACGTTTCCTGCATACAGGATGAATTAGGGCCTTTTTACTAAGGCGCACAATCGTAGGCAGGTGCAGCTAACGAGGACAAGGGCCTCAAATTGTGTGTACGCGGATACACGTGTAATCGACCGTTAAGTAATTTACATCCGTGAAAATCGCACGCTTCGCTTAGCTTTATACAATTCCGCTAATAAAGTTACAAATTATTATTTTCAAAAATAATTGCGACTAAAATTAGTGTCTCGTCTATCATCTAATCTCTCTAATCTAAAATTAATTAACTTGTACTAATATCTTAATGGAGGCTTCAATAATAATTGAAGAGATATCATCACATTGATAATAAATACAATTGTTTTTCTCTTTATAAGGATAATGTGCGATGATAAAATCCATTTATATTAAAATTAGCATTTAAATATATCCTGATGATAAAATTTGTTCAGTATTTGTTAATTACGTCCTCGAAAGTAAACATTCTGTAAAAATTTGTAATTGATTTACTTATTGCCTGAAATATTTCCACTGAAATATTGCTTTACGAACGTTATCGATTATATTGAAAACCAATCCATGCTCGTATCGCTAATCTGAAATTTAGAAGTGTTTATCGTGGACGATATCCCGATAGCAGCACTCGCTGAGCGATGGAAGCAACGTGTATTTACGTGTCAAAAGTTTGGTCGAAATCGATGACAGTGATGATCCGTTCGGTCCAACTCTTAATGCAACATATGCGAGACCGCCGCGGGGTTATTCGTATGCACGCAAAGACCCTTACGATCTCCAGCCGAGTGTTTTGTTGTGACAAGCTCTGATCACGTTATGGCATTAGATTGGATTTAGATCGTTCCTAATCCAGTATCGACATGCGCCTGATTACAATATCGTGCCGGTAGGCTTTAGACTTTAGACAGTAACAGCAGATCAACCATTTGATCTTACATTACTTCGAATAATTTCGTTAAACCGTCTCATTATTTTAGCAAGCTACTGTTTTTTACACATACAGTAAAAGATTATATTATTTATTTAATAATTCAGGGGTGACTAAATTACATAAATAACAGCGTTTAGTATATTGTTGAATTATTGACTATTATAGTGCGTGTTTTTTCAAGTTTTTTCATTCTAATTTAATTCAGTTTTTTAAATATATGTACATTTAGATCTCGATTTGTTCTTTTTTTAAATTTAATTATCTGCTTCTACTCTTATTTGACTATTCTTTACGCAAGGTGTATCTTGCGGTAGTTTCTTCACTCTCTCACGTTATTTATTACCAATATAGTTTTACTAAGAGACCATGTAAGATTAAAAATTGCCGATTTTTCAGTTTTTATTTTATTTGGAATGGATTTTTCTTGTGTTACAGGCTGAGTCCGAAGTCGCCGCCTTGAATCGTCGTATTCAACTCCTGGAGGAGGACCTCGAGAGATCCGAGGAGCGCCTTGCCACTGCCACTGCCAAATTGGCGGAGGCATCGCAAGCTGCCGATGAGAGCGAACGGTAAGTGTCCATTACTATGTCCGCAACGAAATTATTGCAAAGTTTTTTATTTATGATCGTCTTGTATATTATTTGCAACGAGCAGTTATCAAAATAAGAATACGAAAGATATATATATAAATATTTTTTTATTTTATATTTACTAGAGATATTTAATACATAAATATATTTCTATTTTATAATTGACAATTTTTATGGTAATGAGAATACATAAGTGTTTTATATTAATGAAAAATAACTGCTCATTGTTACATAATTTCTTTTTTATCTTTATAAGAATGATTAAGAGTAGGTAATTGTATAAATATGTATTATATGGTCAGATATTAAACATTAATAGGATTTCCTAACATGCTTGTTGCCAAGCCGCTAGTAAGGATCGATGTTAGTATTTCATGTAGATAATCGTTAACTATCATTAACTATATTTATGGAAGAGACAAGATTGAAAACATTTTATTCTTGATCATTCTTATATCTATTATATATGAATAATTCTAAATTATCGGGAATTAAGTATAAGTGAAATGCAAAAGTGGTATAAATCAATATCTTTTATTGTATAAATTTTATCTTGTTGTTTTATAAAATTAAAATTATTTTAATCCTTCTCCTTATTATGTAATATTCTTTCAGTTATATCTCATAAAACATGAAAGTTTTTTATAGCCAGATATTTTTTGATACTAAAAATATTAAAAAATTAAACGTCTGAATGTATAACAGATATTTCAAAAATTATTTTGCATAACTTATGCCACTTCTGCTGCTAATCCATCATGTGTATTTTACCTGCACATGTATGGTATAACGTAGTAAATAATATTTATAAAATATCTATAAATTATTTTATTCTGAACAGTTTAAATATTTTTTATTTAAAACAAAAATTATTTTTTCTATAATTCCGTATTGACCTTGTATCGCCTTACATTGAAAGAATTAATCTGAGAAAGAGACTGAATATCTTTTGAATCCTTTTTCCGCAACTTAATTATAGAACGCGGTTCGATGCATTGCAATTTTGTATGACTAATATCGTACCAAATATAGAGCCGAGCGCAGTAGCTCTTCAATATTCCGGTTACCAATATCAAATATGAAATTAATAATAGATAAATGCAAAAATTCGCGTAATTATATTAAATTCGTTTTCTATTATAGATATATATATGCACAAGTAGGTGCCTAATTATTGCAAAATAACGATATCGTAAACAATTCTAGTCAACTACTACATAATTTAAAAGATATATAAACAAAGAAATTATTCGCAATATTTCTTCTTTTTTGTACTCGGAGATATCTTTCAAATAGAATCGAAATGAGATCTTGCGGATCTTTGAACACCACATCCTGACCTACTTTTTGTGGCTGCATGTCGCATCCGCCGCGACGACTTATTTTTTAGTATACTGAGAAACCCATTACGTTGAATCAACTAAATCCTTGTTTGTATATATGGGCAAACAAATTCTTTAGTTAATATAACAAAAATTTGGTTCACATAACAAAAAATTTAGTTATGTTAATTTAGTTATGAAAAATTTTTGTTATATTAACTAAAGAATTTGTTTGCCCATATCCAAACAAGGATTTAGTTGATTCAACTAAATAGGTTCTCAGTAATATAACAAACGCTTTCTGATTCTTTACAATTGAAAATAGGTTTCTGAATATCCATTCTCTTTTGCTGATTACGTATTATTTGAAAGATAACAATGACAAATTTACGAATGTTGAAAGAATGTGAAACGCCATATTTTTCTTGGTTTGATTTATCTGACTTTTATAATACATATATAAATATATAATAGCGTAATATAAAGTATTGAATATAAAGGACGGTCATTAAGTGCATCTGTAATTTTCAAAGTCTAATTGCCGATTATGATTTCTTTACGGCGATACGTAAAAGCTTAAAATAACGTTGGGCTTGCTTATCGTCTTGATAACGAATGACGTGTACAAGCTTCGCACGTCTTACTTCACTACGATGTATTTCTCGTGTACGAGAGAAAAATTGTCAAATACATGCTTTTCTAGTTTCTTGATTTGTCACGCGGCAAAATATCATAATTATGTCGCAA